AGCTCAAAACGGACTCTTTTTGTTCTTTTTCCAATTTTTCTGCCCGATCTTTCTGAGAGTCAGCATCAAGCTTCCACTGATAACGTTTCAGCTTCAAGTTCCTTTATCCTTTGCTTCAGCTCATATTCACGGCTTCAAACTCGGTCTGGCTATCTCGAGTTCAGAAGGGACATGCCTGAGATGTCTTCCATGGTCGGGTCATCACAGTCTGGCACAGGGATGTTGTCATTCTTCTTAATCCGCCACTCCACATAATCCGGAGTGAGCATGCTTCTGGCAGCTACAACATCCATCCGGAATACTTTCCTCCACGAATCGGCTGCTTCTTTGATCATCTTCTATAGCTGTCGCCGTGATACTCAAACTCTGACCTAGCCAACCCGCACGTTGCTGGGACAAAACTGACGTGCTCCATATTGTCTAAGTGTTAATACATAATCCGGAGTGAGCATGCTTCTGGCAGCTACAACATCCATCCGGAATACTTTCCTCCACGAATCGGCTGCTTCTTTGATCATCTTCTTATAGCTGTCGCCGTGATACTCAAACTCTGACCTAGCCAACCCGCACGTTTGGGACAAACTGACGTGCTCCATATTGTCTAAGTGTTAATAGCGGAGCATACCCGACTGCTCCCTAATCCAAGTAAGGTCACAGTGTCGGAGTCACCACATCGAAAAAGAACATCACTGAGGAATAACCAAGGGGCTCTCCAGACAATATCTCGGTCTTGAAGATGCGTAAAGACCTTCATCCATTTTTCTTTGAAGCGCCTTCATGCCATTTAAGGTAATGAATTCACCTAGAGGTGAATAGGTGGTGCTGAAACGGCGGTAGGCAACCCCGTCAGTCTTCCAGAAGTGGCTGTGAATCCAGACCTGAAGGAGCTGAATGCACCCGGTGAATCTTCCTCCGCCAGTTTCGGCAATGGTTGAGCGATCGAAAGGTCTCGGCCAAGATGGCTGGTGCTGGGTTAACTCGTTTAGAAAGTTGCTCAAATAGTTCCACCACGGCAGCGTCAATGCACCCAAAGCCTTCGGAAATATGATCAAACCGTACAGACCCAGTGCAAAAGGTCTATAGTCTTCCATTCATCAGGGTGGTTTTTCATTAGTTGCTTTATATGGATCCACTCGATTCCTTCCCCGCTACCTTTGTGCCGGAGTCGATCAGTCACCCACTTTCATCAACCCCTGCAATCTTGGCCAGTCCGTTCTTGAAGGGCTGACTCTTGATATGTTTAATATATGCCCTCTCTAGTTTGATGCTTTCGCAGTGCAGTAGAGTAGTATACTCTTCGATAGTAGGCACCATGTCTTCCTGGTTAAAGGTGAAACAACTATATCCAGGGTTCCAGAATTGAATTAATGCTCGGAGTAAGGGCTCATCAGCCTTGACATGGAGCAAGAGGGCGATATCACCATATCGTTGACTGAACTTCTGCTTTCTGTCATTCTTCCAACTGTCCCAAATGTTTCGCAGCTCTTGGACATTATTCTGTTTCAGGCTGACAGCGGCATAACTAACCAGTTCTGACACATAGTTTCCCTGAAGACTGTCTCCCTTCTCTTTCTGAGCCTTCTCAGACCATAGTCGTGCCTCAGCGTTTTCAATCTCTTGTATTACAACAACTTTGTCCATTAATTCGAATTATTTTGTGTATAACAAACGCTTTTTAGGGATCAATAGCCTCTTGTAATGATGCAAATGCTAGAAAACAAACACAAAGGCAAAAACGTTAGTAAAATAAAAATACAAAATAAAAAAAATGACGGAAGGAAAAAAAAACATGGTCAGGGTAAAAATATCCTAAGTTTTGGAACGTGGTTTAGGGGTAGGCTCTAATTCTTCATGGTCTCCTGGTTTAGGTTTAAAAAAACGGTACCCGAGTTCTCCTTGTCGGTGCCCCCTTGGGCTTGCCAGACCCTTAGTCCTGAAACCCATCACAGGCTTATGTGGACTAAGTTAAACTCGAGGGGACACATTCCCTTATGCCCGCACGGTGAATAAATTCACACGAAGACATAAGATATATGAATCCCGAAGGCTACTTGCTAGGCCCGCACGGTGAATAAATTCACACGAAGGCGTCGCTTTCACCCCCACTTAAAATAGGAATTGGAGCTCGGGTATAGAGCCTTAGATGAAAAAAAAACTTTGAAGTCTGAAATCATGAGAAAACGATTAGTCCAACTATTTACTCGAAAATATAATCAAAAGTAAGTAAAAAGGATCGAAATATTACCTTAAAATTTAAACTTACCATTTTCGTCAAAAAGACAACTGGAAATTACCTTAGCCTGACTCACTTACCTGTCCCCAGCGGAGTCGCCAAGCTGTCGTAACCGTCTTCCTGTTGGGCCCCGGAATTGGGCTTCGACTTAGGAAAATGGATTGGAGTTGCCACCGATTATTTATTTAAAAATAAATAGGTTAATCGGATACCTTATATCCTACCTGATCTGCGTCTTACCAAAGATATGTCGGATTCGGGAGTCGGTTACAGCCAAGGAAGGATTAGCTCCCTTGAACTGCCCTTTCGGTACTATGTAATTTCCAGTTGTCTTTAATTAAGAGAATAGAAAAAAAAAGGTAAAACAGATAAAATAAATAAATGATATTAAATCTACATAAACCAACGAAAATAAAAAATGAAAAATAAAGAAACAAAGAAATAAAAAAGAGAAAAAAGGTAATCGAATAAAAAATAAATGAACATAATAATAATAGAATAAATAAATACAATAATAAAAATATATATAAATTAAATATAGCATAAGAAAAATAATCAATAAAAAAAAATGTACATAAATAATAATAATAACGTAAATATATATATATATATATATATATATAAATTAGTAAAAAGAAGATATAGTAATATTTATATATATAAAATAATATAATATAATATATAATAATTTAATAAACACAAAAAGTAAAAAAAAAGTAAATATGAAATACGTATATATATATATAAAGTAATAATATTAAAAATAATAATAATTATTATTATAAAAAAATAAAAATAAAAAAACAAAGTAACATGACTAAATTGAAAGAAAACCCTGATTGAAGGTCGAATTCAAAAGAAAATGGGGTTTAAAAAAATCGGATTTGGGGGGTAAAATGGAAGTTTTAGAAATCGGAGGGTCACAAAGCATAGTTTACCCTTAATACAACAGAAACACGCAGATCCCCTCTTAAGCCAACCAAACGTTTTAAAATTCATTTCATTCTCATCTCTCGCTGAAATGTCCCTCCTTCCCCTCTCTTCATCCTCTCCTCTGTTCATCGAGGATGAAGAACACAGCCGTGGGTCTCGATGAACCCAGAACACGGCCACCGTACGCCGCCTCGCCGTCGCCGTTGATCGGCGACGTCCGTCGGTCATCGGCGACAAAAGTCAAAAAGTTTAGTTTTTTTCGAGAGATTTCGACGTGCTCGTTCCAAAAACGAAAACAGTTTTCTCAAAAACCAGGCCTCATGGGGGTAGATCTAAGCTCAAAGGCTCCGAAAAACATTCTATCCCCACATGTTCATCGGCATTTTTAGCATTTCTTGAGTGAAAAGAGAAAAAAACAAAGGAAGGTGAAGCAACAAACGACCATACAAGACGACCACCAAAAGGTAAGAATTTTACCTACTGTTCTTTCGAAAAATTTGCAAAAGAAAGACTCCGATTTCGCTCTATATGGCTAGTAATTTTCTGCTTGTATTTCGTATCCTAGTAAGATTTCTGTGGTAATCTTTTATGTACTGTGGATTTTGCCTGTAATCTGCTCTTTATTGCCTCAACTGTGTACCCTTGTAATCTTTGGTATTCGTAGGATCCCCGTACAATGGATGATTGCCTCTTTTATAATGAAAAAAACCTATTTTAAATTACACTTTTGAATCCTAATGGAACTCTAATGCTGGATTATTGCTTTGGTTGATGATGATGGTTGTGACTCTTGCGCCGGATGACTCGGGGACCGTTGGAGAGGTATGCAAGCTGTGGTGTCCTCGAGCGGCTGGAAATAAGGGATGCGTGGCTGTTGGTGAGGGGCGTGCTAGGGTTTGGAAGCATCAGAAACGAACTTGTTGGGCCCGGGTCACTTGGGCCATTTTATTTGCGTGTAATGGGCCTGTAAATATGATAAAACAATTTGTAAACATATACGTTAAATAATCATATATAAATGTGTGACGAAATTATGTGTCTACACTGTTCATATATAATTTCAATTTGATTTAAATAATTATTACTTTTAAATTTATAAATCATAAATAGTACATTAATCACTAAAATGGCTTGAATTTCAATTCATGAAATAATGATGAGCAGATCTTTCGAATGCCAAGTCAAGGTGTAAAGTTTGGTATTATTGGTTTTGTTAAATTAATGGTGAAAATAGGAAATAATGATTTGGCAGTCCAAATTCATATGCAATATGAAAGGAAAAGGGGGCAAGGCACAACGTGAATCGCTTGGAAGAACACAATGAACATGTGCCAATTTCATTTCTCACAATAAGGACACCCATTTTATGAGGTACCATTTTGTTATTCTGTACCAAATGCGGATATTCTAAAATCAAAGTTCACAACAGCTGGAAAACAGATATCAAAGTAGGAATCCATGTCGAATTAGATATTATATATATTTTAATAGTTTAGGGCGGATAAAAAGCATAAAATAAGTATACCAAAAAAAAAAAGGCATAAAATCATTACAATAATGATATGGAAAAACAAATTATTCGTATAGTGACCGGCCTAATTTATTTTTCTCAAATAAGATCATTTTTGTAGTGTATAATGGAAAATACACGTCTTTATAAAGACTCATGAAAAACTCGATATCTTCTACATGGAGTTTGGGAAGACGAAGAAGACAAGAACGAGAACTAATGCGAGAAGACGTCGTCTCTTTCGTGCGTCTTTTTTTTGGATAATTAAGATTTTTATTACCCAAATGAGCAGTGTTCTGCTACAAAACAATGATCAATGGAAAATCAACCTAAAAACATGAACAACCTATTCACAAAACAGAGTATAGGTTATTCAATACTCTAATTCTTACAAATAATAATATTAACACTATCAAGTCTATTAATATTCCGACCTCTTAGTTGAATTCCGACAATCGTCTTGATAGCTTTAAGAATTTCAGCTGCATTTATGGAGTTTCCTTTGAACAACCTTATGTTTCGTTCCTCCAATAGAGAATAAAGAAATGCACACCATGCAAGTTTCAAAATAGTGATAAGTAGGGATTTACCTTTCCAAGCATGAGAAATCGATGCTAACAAGTTGTTCCAGGATAAAGAAGTTGATCTTAATCCGGAGAGATGCAGAATGGCCTTCCAAAGGGAATCCGCCAATGGACATTTTAGGAATAGGTGGTCTCTTATCTCCCGATCCTCATTGCACAGAACACATAAGCCATCGGTTATAATGCCCATTTGTTGAAGCCTATTCCTAGTGGGTAGTCTGTCCAAGATAGCCATCCAAGCAATCATGTTGTGTTTTGGTATGTGGAAAGGAAACCAAATTAGATTATGCCAATTAACTTTGTCTATTTTTACTCTAATCTCATCCCATATGGCGCGAGTCGTCATTGCTCCTGTTAAAAAAACAATTTGTGCTTCTCTTTTAAGGTTTAACAATTTTCTGAAGCTCCAACTAGCATTAGTTCCACCTTCGGAATGCCAGATGATCTGTGCGACTTTTGATTGACACGGTAACATTCATCCTATTTAAAAAATAGTTTCTTCAACACCCAATATCAATAAACCTCTGCACCTAGCATTAAGGATTCTGCGTAGCGACGATCTCACACCATCATTCACATCCTCACATTCGACGCTAAGGACCTCCCAAAAAGACTCTCGCTCAACGGTAAACACCTCTGTAGAAAGCATCAATAACCTTTTTTTCTAACACTTATACAAAGAAGACAAGCCTTCCAGATTGATCATATGCTATTAAGCGTTAAGATTTCTTACCTCGAAAACTCTCAAAGCAAACCTACTTAGAATCGTCCCTAAAGAAAGTTGGAATGCCTTCACACGTAAAGTCGAGAGTCCCTGCACGTAAAAGCCCCACGACCAAAATTAGAAAAGACTTCTCCATTACGATGTCACGTTGAGATTTCTTACTTCATAGGGACTAGAAAGACTCCATTTGTAATTAAAATCGAAGTATTTAAATACATTCAAACGAAATCTCCAACGGAAGTGTTGAGAATTTTCAACTCTGCTAGAAATCACACAAATAGGTACCTCACCGTCCAAACAGCATCAAAACACTTCCGAGCAATGCCAACCTTTCCACTATCACTACAACAAAATGGGTTTATAGCGGCATTTTTAGCGGAGTTTTTTTAACAAACGCCACAAAATAACAAATTTTACGGCATTTTAAGCAAAAACGCTGCTAAATACTCGTATTTTAGTGGCGTTTTTGGAAAAATGCCGTAAGAGATTCATATTGTAATGACATTTTTTGAATAAACGCTGTAATTTATCAATACATTAGTGGTGTTTGTATACAAACGCCGCTAAAGACTCGTACTTTAGTGGCGTTTTTATACAAACGTCGCTAAAAACTCATAGCAAGTTTACAATTTCTAAGTCCTGCGCCCCTTTAACCCTTTTTCATTTTTTACCCTTCACCTATTTTTTCATTCCCGCCGTTTACCCAAACCCATATGTGGCTTCTTCGTCGAATCTGCGGCTTCTTCACCGATCTCACTTTCTTTTAGTCGAAACTGCTCAAGGCCAAGTCTCCGTCATAATATATATGGTCTATACATGCCTTTACTTATGTCCGGTTTTATGGCTTGCTGAGTTGATTTCAACTTGTGTTCTTTTGTTGCTTATGTGCACTGGATAATTCATTGATACGAAATTGCTTTCCAGATCTTAGTTCCCTCTTATTTTTCAGTGATTCTATATAACTGGATTTTGTAATATAGCTCCAACGTTATCTGCTTCTTTAATAGTTAGGTTTTCAAACTTTAATTCATTGTTTATTTTGCAGAGAGATTTACGAGCTTATTTGAAAGGAAAATGAGCATTGCAACCAATAATAACTCTGCGGCTTGCACTATATATTGTAAGGGTTGTTACGGTATTATTGTAGTTTGGACTTTATAAACTATTGCTTTAGTAAGCCATATTGAACGATGGCTATTTTCCTTTTCATAAATGGGCATATTGATTTTAACTTCGATTTGAGAGTAACAAATAATTTTAAATGAGTAGGTACTCTGTTACATGGTCTCTATCTTTTCAGGAATATCTTTACGCAAATCTAAAATCCAAATTATGATAGCATAGTAACAGATAATTTCATTCCTGTTTTCTTCCAGTGTCTGGACTTTCCGGAATGGCGTAAACTGCTCAAGGCCAGTTCTCCGTTGGAATGGGGCTGTTGGCAGGGTCCACCATCATGCTTCTCACGGTGATATGGGGATCTTGTGTTGTCGTCGGCAGGTATGATCTCCATGATTCATTCGCAGTCGATATAATGAATACGAAAGGGTTTAGCTTAACAGATACACGACTTTGCTTAACATTGTTCTTTGTTAGTTAGTGCTGTAAGTGGTTGAGGGTTGTGTTACCATGCATTGTGTCCTGCAATGGCCAAAAACATGTGGCTCAAGTAGTCTGAAATTTAGATGTATCATTTTAAATTTCTGTAACCGGAAATGGAAGTTTGTCGGATTTTGCAGAGACGGGTGTTAGCACTGATATTTGGACATGCTATGCTGCCAGCATAATGGCTATATCAGTTATCCCATTTCTTATTGTCCAACTACCACAAGTTCTCAATTCAACTTCACTAAGCCGTTTTGATTGCAATTATTATTTCGATATCGATGTTGGTATCATATTGCGTTTATCAGGTTAATATCCTTTTCCATAAAGGAATTCCATCATGATCATGTCCCAATATTTTTTTTTAACGTTCTTATTATTATGTGTGTATTTTGCAGGTGTTTCAGCCTTGGATCCAGAGAAGACGACTTGCTTTCGTGAAGCACAAGCATGTCATATCGGGAATTTTAAGGCACTTGAAGATGCATACTCTGGGAAGGCTTCTTATTGATGACGGGGAACCCAACACAGAGATCATAAAGAAGTGAGTTTTGATTGATTCTTGAAAAATACACGCTTCAAATTTTGATTCGAGAAAAACTTACTCTTCCCCGTTTATCGTACAGTTAACATTTATGTTATTTTCTCATGTTAAGTAATGACTAATGAGAGCGTTTACCATACAGGTTGTTTTAAGCATGTATTAAAGATGTTGGTCTGCTGTAGGTAGCTTGGGAGCATGAACAGTTCTCACGACTGAGAGTTACTGTAGCCACTCTTTCGGAAATATCTGTTACTCCTGAACTCCTAGAAGGCACTGGAGGTCTGTTTGATAGTAGGTAATATTTCAGACTCGAGCCCTTATTATCCAATAGCCATAGTGTGCATTTGTGTTTGAGACTAGTTACAGAGAGCTTTGACTATCTTGCAGACAATTTGTGAATGTAATTGCAATCACTAGAGGTGTGAAGTTAGTTGCTGGAAGTCTCGCTGTAAGATTAAATGATATACAAGTGTATATTGATTTAATGTTTTTTTAATAGCATTCTGTGATAAAATAAGTGTCACAATGAATAAGCATAAAAAATGGAAATCTATCTTGCAATATTTATGAAAACCTGCTACCTTTTGGAAGGCAATGTGTCTGATCTCTACAAAGCAGTGCCAAATGAGATAGTGACATGAATAACTTATCGTGTGATGCACTTGTGTGGAGTGTTACAGATTTGTGTGTATAAACATAGAAGTGAAAATTTCTCTGTGCATATTTATTTGATATATTGGTTGTGAGTTTTAGTTTGTTGTGATATGTTCTCAATTTTGAAATTAAATGTAATGCTTATGTTTAGTTGCTTACTTTCTCTATAATATAGGCAATTAACATTTGAAATTGATAATCCAGAGTCCACCATCTTAGGTGTTATTATTGTTTATTCTAGTTAACAATGTTGAACTATATTATATTTTAAGTTAATGTAAACTTTGATTTATTATTATGGATTTCAAGTTTCTTGTTATGGATTTCAAGTTTGTTGTTATGGATGTCAAGTTTATTGGATAATGCTACATGTTAAATTTAGTTAACAAAAGAGTAGAAAACAACATTTGAAAATTTAGTTTTAATTCACGACGTTTGTATAAAAAAGTCACTAAATACATAGTCAATACCGGTGTTTTTGAAAAACGCCACTAAAGTTCTAGATCTTTTGCGGTATTTATATAAAAACACCACTATATACGTAGTCAATAGTAGTATTTATTCACAAACGCCACTATATGATATAACATTTAGCGGCATTTTTGGAAACAAACGCCACTATATATCAGAACATTTAGCGGCGTTTTTGGGACAAAACTCTATAAAAGAAAAGACAAAGAGCGGTGTTTGGAAAAACCGCCGCTAAATATCATAACCTTTAGCGGCGTTTGTAAAAAAAGGCCACTAAAACATAACCTTTAGTTGCGTTTGTGAACGACAAACGCCGCTACCTTTTGCGGCGTTTGTTTTAGTGACACTTTTTGCAGCGTTTGTTTTTGCACCACAAAGGTTTTTAGCAGCGACTGAAAAACACCGCTAAAAACCTATTTTGCTATAGTGTATGCCCTTTAAGCGTTGAATATTCTCATACTATATCAGGGGGCATAGAGACAACTCCATCCAAAGTTAAAAAGCTTTGAACATAAATATCTACACAACTCTAATCTAACAAACCCGCAAGCCTACACAAAGTATTGGGATGTCTCCATTCCAACACCAAAATGTCCTCGCCCTAATTTCACCACGACAAAAAGACCTACAACCATAAATCAGACTTATTTGAAGGCACCAAGTTTTATTATCTCATGGAGTAACCTTCATTGCCTATGGCAACGTCGAGACAAGAACATGTTCTCACTCTATTCCCCAAATAATATGACATCGTCCACGGTAAGGGTCACCCACTGAGTAAGGTACTAGGTGCCGCAAATAAAACCACTATCTGCAAAAATCTTTATCCAAGAAATCTAAAACCTCCACTCTAAAGTAGTGTCGAGATACGGATATCCTTTAGTGTATTCCGAGGATGTTCATACCTCTTGAATAACCCTCAAGAGAAAAATATCCTCTGTTTCTACAAGAGATGATCACCTCTCCACTGACGTTAAGACGCCTTTATTCGTTGTATGAGATTCCCCATAACTTGTCACACTAACTCTTCTATATTCCACTGAGATGTAAGTGTTGAATCAAACTCTCTTAAAAGGAAAGGCGAGGCACCCCAGTCCTAAAAATGACATGGTCAAGGTACCTCGAATTTCACCGGCCACGACGTTTTTCTCAAACCAGAAGGAGTGAACTGCCTACGATAGAGAAAACACATTCTCTTTCATAATATAGGGTCAAACCCTTTTATGACATTTCCCTCGATTAAGGGGGCAACTTGTTATACCTTCGAAGATGATCTTCGGTAACCCCTAAGTCTCAGACTAGCCTATATCCCCTAAACTCAAACTTTTGATCAACTACAACGTATACAAGACCTCTAATATACAAGCCCTCTAATTATCCCACTTGGTGCGCCAAAACAAAACCCAAAGTTTTATTACCATACTATCTAGCTTGACGGTATACAAATAACCATGATGACCTTACGATTGAGACACACACTAAAGACCTCTATAAATACTCCCAATCAAGACTGAAAAAGAGGATAAACCGTCCATAACCAATCGATCCTTTTTCTTCTTCCTTATGATAATTCTCTTTCTTCCTCTTTTAAACATCGGCCAACGACCGTTTCTCATTGATTACGGCTCTCTGCCTGAACCAAAGGGAATGAACCATTAATAACCGATAAGTCAATCTTATTCCCATCAATAATTAGACGAGTCTATCTTATTTCATCTACAAACATATTTTTACATATCTTATAATTGATGCTCATGGTCATGGGGATTTTGAAAAGTCATGCTCCGACCTTTAAATCACTTGGTCACAAAAGAGTATTGGGTATTTAAGGGGTTGTCTCAGGAAAGGCGGACTAATTTATGGCTAATATGCGGCGTTACCAGAAACATATTAAGGTACTTAACAAAGTCGGTTTAACGTTACCGGAAATATTGAGTAATAATAATGTTGTAGGTGGAAATCATGAAGAAATATTAAAAACCTTGGCAACCGACAAACTTAGCTTGTCGGTATGTATCGATACAATTAAAATATGTATTGATACATAACAATATATCAGGTAAAAATATGACAAAATTGATTCAATATGACAAAACCGGTAAAGCGCTTCCGAATATGTTGAAAGTATAGATTCCATTGAAATAAGTATCGACACTTTTGGAATTTAAGAGAAAAGCGACATAGCGCCTATAGAGTATCGATACGTTATAAACATGTATCGATACATAACAATATAACAGGTAAAAATATGATAAAACCGGTTTCATAATGACAAAACCGGTAAAGCGCTACCGGATATGTTGAAAATATTGATTCCATTTAAATAAGTATTGACACTTTTAGAATTTAAAAGAAAAGTAGTAATAGCGCCTATAAAGTATCGATACTTTAAAAAATGTATCGATACATAACAATATAACAAGTAAAAATATGACAAAACCAATTTCATTATGAAAAAATCGGTAAAAAGCTATCGGATATGTTGAAAGTATCGATTCCATTCAAATAAGTATCGACACTTTTGGAATTTAAAAGAAAAGCAGTAATAGCGCCTATAAAGTATCGATACTTTATAAAAATGTATCAATACATAACAATATAACAGGTAAAAATATGACAGAACTGGTTTCATCATGACAAAACCGGTAAAGCGCTACTGGATATGTTGAATGTATCGACACTTTAATAAGTATACGTAAGAAATTATTGATACTTTTAAAAGAAATAGGTAAATATTCTATCGAAAGTATTGAGACCTGACATAAAAGTATTGAGATTTGGGTAATTGTATCGATTAAATATAAATAACATATCCAGTTAAAATATAAAAGGCATAGCTAAATTTCCTCTGAAATTAGATAAAACACGACAGAGTTTTTGAAATCGAAGCATAATTGTTGTTGCATTTCAGAATGCATTTTTAAAGCGAAGTTTGTTTGTTTGTTGCTGCAGTCAAATCGAGAAGTACGTTGTCGAAACCCTAGTTTTTTATTATTACAATAATCGAAAATAGGGGTTTTATGTGTTTGGGGTTTTCAAAGTAAAGAAGCATTTGGGACCGATTACAGGTAGAAAGTGATATTATAGGTAGATGATAAATATCGATATTTTTATTAAATATTATAGGTAGAAAATGATATTGTAGGTTGTATAAATGTATCGATACTTGGAGTATTGAGTGTTCTCATTAGTTTGAAGAAAATAGGGATTAAGGTTTCATTTGGGGATTTCAAATTGAAGCCAAGAAGGATTTGGGACCGATTATATAATATTATAGGTAGAAAATAAATATGTATAATGTATCGATACTTGTAGTAGTGGCCATTCAAATTCTTTTGAAGGAAATCATTTTACTACAAGAGTAGTTATCTTCTTATCGATATTTGTATATTGAATAAAGTGTATGTAACCATTATTTGATTTTGATTTGCGTAAACTGATATATAAAGGAAAAATTGTAATATCCCAAAATCGGGGGCTAGTGACTAAAATAGAAATTTGAAACTTTGAGGTCTGATTTTGAAAGATTTAAAAGTTCAAGGACTAAATTAGAATATTTAGTGGATGATTATTGGTAATTATTCAAGGAAATAAAGGGTAAAATGGTCATTTGACCAGAAAGATTTTTATCTTTCTTTATTTAGGCTATAAATCACCTGGGAATGAGAGAAAGATTAGTCCAGAGACTTCTCTAGCTTTCTTCTTCCTTTCCACCATGAAGCCAAGCTAAAGGTGAGTTTTCTTGTTGATTAAATTCTTGATGAATTTAAGGTTGCTTATTGATCATTAGATAATAACTAAGGTTAAGGAAATCTTAGGTTATCTTAAAGTCAAAGGATGATGAAGTTAGGGGAGATTAAAGATTA